CACTGTCGGCCACGTAGGAGCAGTTGACACTCGCGACTCGATGAGAGCAGACGTGGACGGACGCTGCGGCGGTTCATGCTTCTAAAAACTTGCAACCGTGCAAAAGGTCGGTCACATGACTTACATTGGGAGGTTGCGGTTGCATGAGAACCATCGGGAGTAATGAATGAGAGAGAGATTTCACTTTAAGGGCATTTTAGAAGCCGGGTTTCCGTAGCTCACAACAGTGACGGACTGATAGATTGTCACATCATCTGGAATTTAATTATTACATTTTTTAACACATCTCTGGTATTGTTTTGAGCTCATAGGACTCTTCGGGATCTAATACTCAAGGAAAATACTTCATAGGAAGTGCATTCCTCATAATTTAAGACGTTACAAGTATGTGGGTACGTGGAGGTTTTGTCGTGGCACTCTCGGGCATGGGTCGAGTGCCATTCTTGTCTTTTCTCGTATTAGAGATTAATCATCATTCAGCAGAAGATATCTGTTTTCATTCATTTTCATGCGTCTGCTCTATGTTGAGAAAAACGGAAAGGAAATTTCACGATCCAGGAGTCCTTACCGTGATTCTTTTTAATGCAGTTCAGGCCGTAAATAGAGGCAGAGAAGTAGTTTCAAACCACAGAACACTACATCATTATTGATATTCCTTTTGTGTGTCTAAGGGCTTGGTTATTATTCAGAATAAGATCTCGTGAGGTAACACCCAAGCCTCTGGTTCACATTCTTGCATAGGCCAAAGAACCTTCGCCTTTTAATGTTTGATAGAGGAGAGCTTGGACTAATTCCATATTTAACAATGGAATGGTAGGAATGGTTGCAGACTGCATGTTTTCAGCTTGTTTTTGTTGGAATGCAAACGGCAGATACATATGTATGTGATGCATATGCAGATGTATAAAAACTGATACATTTTTGATACTTTTACTGTTGGCTGAGCAGCAGAAGAGACAGTCTTGGTTGGATAGGGCTCAAGTATCAGATTAATGTTACCAAGAGTGATGCATAGGCATAGAGGGAAAAGGAAAATGCCCTCTTATAGAGCACAAAATATTTTGATACAAACACAGGTACAGCTTCTGTGACCCAGTATTTAGCGTGAAATGATAAAAATAGCTACTGTATATCACTACTCAGAGACTAAGTCTACAACACCCACACTGCCAGAGTTCTTAATGTTCTTTTCCCATAAGCAGGTATGAAATGCTAATAAAGGGGTGTGTTCCCCATCTAGGGAATAGATAGAAGTCAGGAAATTTTAACCCATTAACGCCAGTATATTTTGAAGTCGAAAATAAAAGATTCCGGGCGGCTACAAAATCGGCGGGTAGAGCTGCCCCAGCGTCTGTCTGCCCGCCGGCCGCGGCCCGCTGCTGCGTCGGAGCCCAAGCCCCAATACAGTTTCACACTGGCAGGATGCCTGGCAATATATATTCTTTGGGGTGTCTCATATGTGTGACACCCGTTGTTTGTGAGTTAACTTTGGGTTGTTGGGTTTGTATGATTTCCTGGTTTTGGGACTGTCTCTCAGGGGGGTGCATTGTTTTCAGTAACAAATACCCAATATCGATTATGATTTTTGTGACATAAATAGAAAAGTCTTGAGATCAGTTCTCATTCTTAGATATAAAAGTCTTGATCAGTACTCAGTCCTCCTGCTGTTGTTGGAACGTGTTTTGGATACAGGTCGCAGCTAGCAGTTCGTAGATTAGCTGAGCGGAGTAGTGCCCATGTGAATGGAGGGAACAGTAGGTCAACTTTGCGGTACTTCAATGTCGCAAAGTATTTCACAATCCCACATCACAAAAGCACAACAAATGCAGAGTGTGAGGGAGCAAAGCCTACTAAAAGCTCGCAATAGGAAATAAGGGAATGGGGCTTGTGACATCAGCCTGCAAGTTGGAATACAATCATCCACATTGCTATACATTGTTTATTTGATGTTTTGATATGTCTCTATGTATTTTTCATAAACTTTTATCTCACTGTTTTACCAGGTCCAAGATGAAGGTGAAAGAGATAAATCAGATGGCCAATGTGGCCTGGTCACCTGCTAGTGTCTATCCTCTATACCTAGCCTGTGGCACAGCGGCTCAGCAACTGGATGCCAGCCTCAACACCAACTCAACACTTAATATCTACAATGCAAACTTGGGACAGGCAAATCTGGAGACAAAATTGGCTGTGTCTGTGGAAACGCCAGGAAGGTTGGTTAAAGATCTGATGAGATTTCCTCTGTCTCTCTCTCTCTCTCTCTCTCTCTCTCTCTCTCTCTCTCTCTCTCTCTCTCTCTCTCTCTCTCTCTCTCTCTCCTCTCTCTCTCTCTCTCTCTCTCTCCTCTCCCTCTCCACCTCTCTCTCTCCCCCTCCACCTCTCTCTCTCCCCTCCACTCTCCTCTCCCTCTCTCCTCTCCCTCCACCTCCTCTCTCCCTCCCCTCTCTCTCTCTCTCTCTCTCTCTCTCTCTTCTCTCTCTCTCTCTCTCTCTTCTCTTTCTCTCTCTTTCTCTTTCTCTTTCTCTTTCTCTTTCTCTTCTCTCCCTCCCTCCCTCCTCCCTCCCTCCCTCCCTCCCTCCCTCCCTCCCTCCCTCTCTCTCTCTCTCTCTCTCTCTCTCTCTCTCTCTCTCTCTCTCTCTCTCTCTCTCTCTCTCTCTCTCTCTCTCTCTCTCTCTCTCTCTCTCTCTCCCTCTCTCTCTCTCCCTCTCTCCCTCTCTCCCCCTCTCCTCCCTCCTCTCTCCTCCCTCCCTCCCTCTCCTCCCCTCCTCTCCCTCCCCTCCCTCCCCTCTATCCCCCCCCTCCCTCCCTCCCTCCCTCCCTCCCTCCCTCCCCCCTCTCCCCTCCCCTCCCCTCCCCTCCCCTCCCCCTCCTCTCGTTCCTCTCCCTCTCAGAGTGAATGCCTTTTATGATTACCAAAAAAAAAAAAAAATAAATAAAGAGATAAAACTTAACATCATCATTACTTATCTGTTACTACTTTTTCAGATTTCATGCCTTAGATTGGACTGGAGACCAAGGTTCAGGCGTAATTATAGGAGGATGCGACAATGGGGTTTTGTACGTGTACGACGCTAATAAACTAATTGCTAATCAGACTGACCACCTTCTAGGGTCCACAGAAAGTCATCATTCAGGACCAATTTTCTCTCTAAGCAGCAACCCATTGAAGGTATGTTATTGACTTCTTTTTTAAAAAGCTGTCTAGTACTCTGTAAATGAAGTCAAAATATGTATATGAACCATTCTATTTGTTTTGTCTGTGATTAGGTAATGATATACAAAGGTTGTGATATTTATTTCCATGGAGAACTGTGCTCATAGCTTTACCTTAACAATATGGTTAAGTAATATATATATATACTGATTCCTTTTCAAGAGTAACTTGGTGGCCACGGGATCAGTGGATTGTGACCTGCTAATTTGGGATGTAAACAACCTCTCTAGTCCCATGACACCTGGCAAGAAGGCGAATCTAGGAGCTAATGTCACTTGTGTCCAGTTTAACAGGTATTTGATAAAGTGAATTTGTTTAATACCCTTTTCATATATAGGTAAAAACTAGTTATTCTTATTATACAAGTACAAGAATGTAGACTTGGTCAGATAGTGTGATGAGCATTGGAATAATTCAAGACTTACACTTTCCTTTTGCATAGAGTCTTGATTATTTTATATCTTTATTTAGATTGGCATTCAAAATTTCAGGAATGTGGATTCTCTATGGTAGAAGTTCATTTTGTAAATATTGATTGCCAAAGTTAAAAGTTTACCCGAGAGTAACATATTTTGATTAAATACATTTTTTTAAAGATTTAAGCCTTCTAAGATTTTTTTTCTTAATTTACTGTAAAACAGACAAGCAGAACACATATTAGCCTCAACATATGCAGGGCACTGTGTGATATGGGATCTCAAGAAGAGCGCATCAATCATCTCGATTGTGGATTCTGTCTCAAGGGTAAGATAACAGTGGAGTTTAAACATGAGTTTTTAGTACATATCACAATTTCAGATGACTTTCAGATCAGTGATACTCTAAGTTTCATATTGTTTTTTTCCCCCAATATAATTTCATATCTGATTTATGAACTAAAAGAAGTTCTCTTCCAGATGAAAGCCAAGAGCATTAGCTGGAACCCTGATGTAGCAACACAGCTCTTGCTGGCAAGTGATGATGATGCAACACCCATGGCCCAAGTGTGGGATCTGCGTTATGCTAATGCTCCTCTCAAGACCCTAGAGGGACACCAGAGAGGTATCCTAGCAACAGCTTGGTGTGTTCAAGATTCCAGTTTACTCATGACAGCTGCGAAGGATAATAAGTAGGTGATTCTTTTGTGTGTGTGTGAAAAGTTATGAAAGCTTGTGTTATTTTGTTATTTTTTCTCTATTTTTTTGACAATTATTTAGATTTTTTCATTGTAAAAAAGTCAGTTGATATTAATGGATTACTCGAAAATGTAAATTACATGACGACCTCTCCTCTCAGAATCTTTGTGTGGAACCCTGATTGTGGAGAGAGAGGGTCTGAAATCGTCTGCGAATTTCCTTCTTATAACCAGTGGAGTTTCAACTTGGATTGGTGTAAGCGAGACCCATCCCTAGTCGCTACTTCTTCTGTGGATGGAACTGTAAGCGTTTACTCAATCCTCGGAGGTGGTTTGCCACCAACACAAGCTGACAAGGTGAGTTGAGAGAAGGCACAAAGTAGTTACTGGTAACAAATTTTCTCTAGTATTATTATATACCCATGATCATATTAACCCTTGAATTTATTGTGATGCATTCTTTAATATCCTTCAAAGTAATGTGGATTTTTTACCATCTTTTTTCCCCATTTAGTTCTCGGCCATTGCGGATTCTTTCCCAGGCATGGAAATGCCTGCAGTGGTACCCCAGGGAGCCACTCCACAACCTATTCAGGTCAAGAACCCACCTAAGTGGTTCCGAAGGCCATCTGGAGCAAACTTCTCAGTAAGTTCAAAAGTTTGTGATCTTGTTCAGATTAGAGAAATATAAGAAAGGATAGTGTAGTTCAGCTTGTTATGGCATTGCTGCTTATGTGGAATAAGAAGATGAAAGATTTAAATGTTAAAGAAAGTTAGGCCTGTTCATGTGATAATTGTAACAGTTTGTTGAATCTTGTACGGGAATTAGATCACAAGAGAAAAGATCCTATGTAAAATAAGTTTGAATGTAATGTCACATCTGGAAGTGTATTGCATGAAATCTTTTTGATTGCTATCCTTGGCTTCAGTGCATTCGAATATTCCATTTCATGTAAGAAATTCAAATAGATAATCCTATATAAAGTAGGTATGCAGAATTTTAGGCTTAATTCACTGAATGATCCTTTACAGTTTGGTGGTCGACTAGTTTCTTGGAATAAGCAGAGCAGAGCTGTGGCCATCTCACAGGTGGTAACGGAAGAGAAGTTGGTGGAACGAAGTGTTCAGTTAGAGAATGCTCTCTCACAGTCTCAGCTTGGCCCATACTGCCAGGCTAAAGCAGAAGCTGCTGCCAAACCCAGTGATCAGGTAATATTTGTTTCTCTTCAGGTCTTATTTGGGTAATTCTTTACAGTACGAACACACTGTCTTTACCTAATATGCAAGATTGAACTGAAACTTGAGTGGACCAAGTGGACTTAAGCTGTAAGCTCTTTCCTTTATTTGTTGCATTATTGTTGGTGTCTGCAGATTATTTCATGTTTCACTGAATAACTTTTTTGCCCTTTACAAGAATATCATTAATTACACCTACCTTAATTCATCCATACTGTAAAGATAAACTGTTATTTTTTTTCTTTTCTATGTCGAGTAAGTTTACTTTCATTTCATCATCTTTTCTACTTCCAGTTTTGTGTATGTACAGAAGAACAAATCCTCAGCATACATATTATAACCAAATTTCAGTGCAAAGAATCTCAAGTGTAGACTTATGCAACATGTTTGTTTTGTTTCAGGTTTTATGGAAGTTCATTGGAGCCAACTTTGAAACAGCTCCACGAACACACTACATGAGTCTGCTTGGCTATAACAGTTCACAAGTCTCAGACAAGGTTCGCCCTCCAGCACCTGTAGCTGATGGTATTGCAGCAGAGGTTCTGGCTGATAAGATGGAAAATCTTGGCACAAACGTTAGTATTATTCTAACATTTTGGTGTCTGTAAAGTGTTCACTACTGTTTGATATAGGTGGGAAATATTTGCCTGCTTATGTCAGAACAAGAAGAATTTGTATTTTTTTTTCTTCTATAGATGTTTAATCTTTGTTTCTTGTGATTGCATGCAGAGAAGACAGCAACATTCATTAAGTCAGGGATGGTTATTTGTTGCAGTAAGTTGAATTTATGTAACTCTTCAGTAAATCGTTCCTCTCTGCTTTCATGGGTAGCTTGAAATTAATTAAGCTATGTGGAATATATATTTTGCATAGAATTAGAATGATTATCTTGATGTTTCATTGCTGTTAAGATATGTTGAGCTGGCAGTAAAGTTTTATTTCTTGATTCTAGAAGAGTTACCGAGTGATTGATTTTCTGTATTAATTGAAACTGAACTGCTCATTAATAGTACCAAATTACCAAATCATAGTATAATTAAAGTAAAGTTTCAGAAGCATCCTGCCCCTTTTCAGAAGTAGATTTATATAAATCTATATGCCTTGGCTGAGCATCATCCATAAAACATAACATTTCAATAAACTTTTTTTGTGTAAAAAAAATGAGTTGTGAGAAATATAGATGTAAATTAATGTAAATGCTAATTTTCTTTTACACTTACAGGATGGCAGCACCAGCTCACTTGACCCCAGTGAGCAGTTTGAGATGATTGCTTCAGCTCAGTCCTTCGACAAGACTCCAGAACTTGAGGTAGGACAGATCATTTAATGGATGTCGATGTATGTAAAGAATATTTATTTTTGAGAATATGTAATAAAATAAAATCTTGTATATATTACTTGATCCATTTATAATTAAAATTGTAAGTGTATTTGAATTCATAGTCTTTCTCATTACCTGTAAATATGAAGGCTTAATTTTGTGTCTTAGGAAATAGAACCAGAGGTGGAGACTAAGCCCTCCAAGGTGGAGCTTAATGTGGAGGAGACAAGTGGAAGTAATGAAGGACTGATTACCCAAGCACTTTTGGTCGGGGACTTGGAATCGGCAGTTGAATTGTGCGTAAAGGACAAACATTTCACCCATGCATTGACACTTGCTGCTCATGCTGGCCAGGAGCTCTACGCAAAAGTATGTATGGTTATGATAGGTTTTATTTGGCCTAGAAATAGCTTTTGATGGTGTGTGAAATATGAAGGACTTGTTAACCCACTAGCGACAGGTGGTCCACATACGAGACACCCCGGGAAAAAAAAAATTGTCAGGCATCCCGCCAGTGTGACGCTGTATTGGGGCTTGCACTCCGACTCAGCAGCGGGTCATGGCCGGCGCATGGGCAGAGTCTGGGCCAGCCCCACGCGCAGATTTTGTAGGCGCCCGGAAACTTTTATTTTCAGCTTCAAAATATACCGGCTTTAGTGGGTTAATCCAATGCCGCCGGGAAAATGTTGCATTCACTTTAGTGTTATTTTAAATGTCTTTGCACATAGATGGCTTAGCCACAGAGGAGTTCATTAGTAAATCTTTTGACGTCACCTTTCCTTGAGTTGGTGGATTTTTTTTTTTTTTTTTTTTTTTTTTTTTTATGCCATCAGTATTGATACTGATATTTTTATTTTTAATATTGTAATTACTGAGTTATTTGCATTACTAACAGCAGTATCAAATGCTAAGAAATAGGATTGAAAATCAAGGAAAAGGTTAAACAGGTGAGAGAGATACTTCTCGTAACTGGGTCTTTGATAACCTAGTACTTGTGGAGCCTTTTATATGTAAATATAATTACTAAATTAAACACACATTGGGCATAGCATATACACCCAAGCCATCCCCTTCAGCATGTGGTTAAAAGGTATATGAAAATATACCAACTGGAAACAAATATACTGAACTACAATTATAGCTGACTTGTAATTTCCTTTTATTGATCAGCAGAGGAAAAGATTCTTTATAACACCATTGTACACAGTACAGGTCTGCATTCCATGACTTCCTTCTTTTCTTCCATGACAAATAGACCCGTGACAGTGTCTTGAAACAAGTCGATGGCTCTCTAGCTCCCTTGATTGGGGCAGTTGTCCGTGGAGATTTGACCTCAATAACCACATCTTGCAACCTTGGCAATTGGAAGGAGGCCCTAGTGGCAGCTCTTACATACTGTGAAGATGCCCAGTTCATTGCTCTTGCAGGTAAGGGAGGAAGAAAGCTTAGGTTCATTTTTAGTTTTGATGTTCTTTCTTGGTAAGTCTGAAGATCCAGATATATAGATTGGAAAACTTGATGAAAGGTTCCATTTCATATATTGAAAATTCTCATGACTTTGCCCTATCTTTGCAGAGAATCTTGGTGAACGTCTAGAGGCATCTAACATTGGAGAATATATACCCTCTGCCATGATTTGCTATGTTTGTGCTGGCAGTTTGGAGAAGTTTGTTTCTTGCTGGTCAAAGATGCAACCAAACTTGAGCAACCCTAATGAATTACAGGTAATTTACTAGCAGATGCAAGCAGTCATTTGTGATGATGGCTTTCTCCAGGTTTCAGAAATATCATGAATCAGTGATTTAGTAGAGTAACATCTTTGTACTTTTACAGGACCTGGTTGAAATAATAATGGTCCTCCAAAGGTCCCTTGCAGCAGCCGGTCGACCTGTAAACCTAAGTGAAGGGAGCACTGTAAGCTCACTCTTGTGCCAGTATGCATCTCTCCTGGCAGCCCAGGGTGCTCTGAACACAGCTGTGTCCTATCTGAACTCTGCTACACAGGTTGGTAATAGAGTTCTGACTGGAAATATTTGTATTTTGTGTCTCATGTCCCAATACTATTTTGTCTGTAGTTTAGGATGATACAGACCTTTCTTTTCCTTTGCATATAAAAGGTGTTTTATATATATAAAAGTGGATGTGTATCTTATGTTTATATACACAATTGCATTCAATTGCAAATTATTTAATCAGGTAAAAATTTGGAACTCCTGTTTTTAGGGTGAGATGATTGAATTACGTGACCGCTTGTACCGTGCACTGGGATACCAGACTGGGAGGACTAACCAGCAAGTGCACAATGTTGTTCCTCAACCATCGTTCAGACAGACTCCAACTCCACAAGGTTATCAGTCTCAGGTAATGTGATTTAAGGAACACCATTTATGGCCAAAAATTCATATGAGGTCATTTTGCTTTTACATATCAGACTGGTTATCTATTATCATATCAGACTGGTTATTTATTATTAGCATATAAACTATATTTTTTCCCCCCATGAATTTCATAACCTTGACTGAAGTATATGATTGATCTTTTGCGATATTTAGTGCCTTTTGTAAGTGCTTTTGGTGAATAATTTCTTGTTATTCATTGGGTTGAGAAGGGAGGGGGCTGGGCTGGGAGCAGTGGCAGTCAGCAACCAGTGGGCGGTTTTACGACATACCAACCACCAAGCATTCAGGTACACTGCTATATGCTTCCAGTTGTAGATGAAAATGTATCACTGAAATTAAGTAGTTTAGGTTGCTTTCTGATGCTGCATGGATTACTGGTTAATCAGTAGCAATTAATATGTTGCTTTGAGTTGTTAATATTGAAAACTAAGCTATACCAATGGGATACCAATTGCATTTTGTTGTGTAATTTTTCAAGTTACTTATTTGAGCATGTAATATATGACCAACATTTTGGATTAAGTGTGCTTACATTTTGTGAAGTGTCATTTTTTTAGTAGTAGGATGTAAATAAAAACTAGGTTAGGAGTTAAAATAGAAAATCTGTAACAAAAGCCCCTTAAAATTATGCTTAACATCTCTTTTTAGCCTTGTTTCATAGAGAATTTTGTATTCCATAGGCAAAAGCATAGAAAGCATGGTGAGTGAATTACCAGTGTTGGTGCAGCTTTTTCCCTGAACAACTTGAAGCTTTTACATGACTTGGTTATACTTCATCTGCCTAATCATTACCCACTCCTGTTAAACAGCAGTGGGTAAATTATGTCAGGAGGTGAAAGAGCGAGTGATTGATAAATAAGTAAATGAATCAAATGCTTTTTGGTTTGACAGGGCATCTTTCTCCAGCTTTATCCTGGTCAGAATTATCAGGTATAAGTAGTAATTCTTTCTGTAATTTGATATGGTATATTAAATTTGAGAAAGAAAAGGGTGGACTCTTGAATATTGTGCAAGGATGAATTGAAACAAGGGTGCAATGAAATGGGAAATTCTAAATCTGTAAGGTTTAGTGCCAAGCTAGATGATAGCACATGAGATAGGAATAGCCACAAGAGATCCAGTTAGTTGTGCTTTGAATTGTTGCAGTTTTTAAGTTCCCTTTTTCATTGTGGCTTGATTTTGTTTAATTTTTTACTGTTTTTTTGGGGGGGGGTTTAGGAGAAAATAGCTGCTTTGTTTCATTATTTTTTCTGATTAATGAAGAGGGAAGATGAGTGAATATTTTTGCATTTAGTAAATTTTGTGTATACTGTGTCATGAGGTCAAGAACAATATCAGTGAGGCTAGTCATTGACTTTTTGGGAGGACTGGTTTAAAAAAAAGAATTTGTAGATATGTAAGCAGAAAGTAGAGATGCTTGGATTATATATTTGTTTACTAGCAGACCATTGATTAGCTAGTGTGTTGGTAATAAACAGGCTTTCTCTATTTTTCTGCACATTTTGTTATTAATATGCTAAAATGGAAGAAAAGAAACTTGTACCAATATTTGAAAAGTATTTAAAATGCAGAACAGAGATTAAACTTTAAACGTTATTTCTTGTGACAGTGTATTCAGGTTCCCCAGCCATCTGCCACAGAATTGTTGGTGAGTGACAAGTGCCGGTATTAGGCAAAGGTTTACTAATAATGTATTTTGCGAGCCAGATGTAGTAAGAAGCTGGAATTCAATGCATTGTAAAGAGTGATCAAGCACAGTGTGGAAAGTTGAAAGCGTTGGTTTGTTATACATTCTTTTTATGATTTCTTAGTTCTGTTGTAGTGTCTGAACAAGGATAAATGCACAAATAAGAAGACTTTAGATTGCACATACTTTTATTTGTATAGAAAATTTGCACACGACTTAACAGTAGTACGTCTTTTCATATATTTTTTTCCCTTTACTAGATAGGTTTATTAATGTTAGGAAGTGGAAGAATATAAAATGCAAAACATTATCATCACATGCTTAAAGGGAGGGAAATCTGGCTAGAAATTTGTGCATTTTTGCATTGTGTAGTCTGTAATATATATTAGTGGTGGATTTGTTGTTTTCTTTACTTGGATTATCTCTTTTTTTTATTGTTAGGAAAGAAATTTGATATTCTTTTGATAATAATTTTACTCTTTTTCTCATAGTTATGCCCAAGTATATTTTGCTATGTATATATATATATATATATATATATATATATATATATATATGTAAATATATATAATATTATGTAAATATATATAATATATTTCAGTGGTACCAGCACCAAGATCCTCAGATGCTATTTGATGAGTAGGGCTAATCTGTTTAATTATCCACCTACATATCTTTGCTTTTTATAGCTAGTTGAAACACTGGGGTCAAGTGGTTTAGGGTTCATTTGAAAAAAAAATTAAAAATTAGTGTTTTTGAATAGTATTGTCATAAAAAAAATTCAAATCATTTGTCATCTATCATTATTCACTTTATTAGTTGTCAATCATCACACCGTCAACATAGTTCATTGTTCACTGTTTATCAGTAATCTTCCTAAGATTACTGATAAACCATAATACCAGATTGATTTACCTGAACATAACCCCATTTATCTGTGGTTGAGTATCAACCTGTTGTAAGCCTCCAAAGATTGCTGTTTGCAAATGAGTCTTCTAGATGTGTGTGCTGTTGTGTGATGTGCTTAAAGAAGGACATTCTGCAGGACTTGTATTATCCCTTGTATTTGCTTCTCTCTCGTGTGTCTACAGGACTCACTAATGGCACAGCAACCAAGGAATGTTGATTCTTACAAGATAGGGATAACTTTCTTGTTAGAATAAATTGAATAGTTGGGTTGTAATAATTGCAGAAGCTTAGAACTGCATTGTGCCATGGTTTTGAGATTTCTTTTAAGTTCTGCTTATTGTGCATGAAATCTTATATATTACACATTATTTAATTTTATATCCCCACTCCTATTGCTATCAACGCAAGTGTGTTTTTTTATCTCCATCTGCTAAAGTGGTGCTCAAGGCTACTATCATATCCTTCTCCTGTTCTAAGCAGGAGGAGGTTAATGTAGCTCTTAATGGCACTATTCTTATGATTAATAAGAAATATATGCAATTTATGTCCATAACCTTTGGGATTAATAGGTGATATTTAACATTTGAAAAGGAAACCTGTATATTAGCCAAATTGTACATCACTTCAGCAGTAGTTTGCAAGGTAAAAGTACTTGGTGTGATACAATTATTTTTAACAATATTTTCATGTGCATGCAGTTATTCAAATAGTAGGTGAGTTGTTGATTATGGTTTTCTGGATATTAAAGTAGTTCTAATCTAACAGTATTTTACAACAAGTGTATCATTTATTGCTACTGCATATAGACTACTTCAGAAGCTTTGTCTGCTTAAATATTAAGTAGTCAAATTAACCTCATTATGAAATTTTCTGATCTTGACTCACTGATGCCAGGAAGGCAAAAGTGTATGCCAAGTCAATTTGTGTTTTTTGCTAGTTAGTAGTCTTTATACATAGATGGCTCTACAATGGCTTATTCACCAAGGAGTCAATTACTAGTCTGACCTCACACATCTCTTTACCCTTTTCCTTGATTTTCAGAATGACTTATTTTTAATTGCTGCTAGTATTATTGATACATTATGATAATCATAATGCCAATAATTATGACCATAAAGATATTTATAGCATTAAAAAAAAAAAAGATTCCCCAAAATCAAGGAAATTGGGAATAGGGTAAAGTCAAGAAGGCTTACTAATTGGCTTCTTGGTGGTGTAGGACTTGTGGAGCCATCTATATGCTAAAAAAGATTCAGAAGTGGGTTAAAAGAAATATATCTTACATATAGCTGTAAGACCGTAATGTTAAAGATTGGATACAAAATCTCGGCAATTAAAATTAGTAATAATAGATAGATAAAGATTGAATAATTATTCAAATTATAAACTCATATTAGGAGAAGGAAAAGAAGTCAAGGTGTGATATGAAAGGAAGAATGAATTGCTAGTGATTTATATTTGATATTTACACTTTGGATGTGAGTTTTATACATGATATTCATATGAATATAATATGGTATATCGTATGTTCCAGTTTTCTTTCTCCCAGTTTATTATTAGTGTATAGAGGAAGAAGAAAGTATGATAATTGAAAAAAAAATTGTTCCATATATCTTTTGTGTGTTGAATCTAACATCTCATTAATATGTAAATAGATAAATGGTATTGTGTATTCTGCTCAGTGGCAAGTAAATTTATTTTCAATGTCTGAATATTTTACCCACAGCCAAGCCAGTTCACTCCATCAGTTCAAGCACAACAACGCAATATATATGGAGAACCCACTGCACCACCACAGGCTGCACCTGCTCCATCCTTATTCACTCCTGCACCTCATGTGTCTCAGCCACCGGTATGTACTTTATCTATTTATTTATTTATTTATTTATTTTTATATTTGAATTCCTGCTGTTCCCCACACTGTTTGAGATTTGGATATAAGGCTACCACACCTTTATGCTCATGTCTTCAACTTTGATAATGGTGTTTGTGGGATTGAACTTTTTGGTAATAACTTTTAGAGGCTGTATCATGAGTGGATACGTTATCCCATTTGCAACGGGTATCCCACATATGAGACACTAGGGAAAAAAAATCGCCGGGGGTCCCGCCAGTGTGATGCTGTATCGGGGCTTGCACTCTGACTCAGCAGCGTGCCACGGCCAGCGCGCGGGCAGAGTCCGGGCCTGTCCTGTGCGCCGATTTTGTAGCCACCCGGAAACTTTTATTTTTGGCTTCAAAATACACCGGCGTTAATGGGTTAAGAGGTTATCTCAAAATGCAACCACAAAAAAGTATGGGTGTATGCTAGCCTTGAATAGTTTTGGTACTATAACGGCATTTATTTTATCACCTCACTTGAATGTATATTGTATCATTCCATGATGTAGTAAAATGTGTGCTGGCCTTTGTTCTATTGTTGGTTCCAAATATATACTTGTGTTCGAAGAGGTATTTGAGGATCTTCAATATTAATTAGGGATGTAGGTAAAAATAGTAAAGATAGGTGTACAGTTATATATAACATATTAGAATTTGACATTTCTCAATGTTGATCTACATTATATCTCTGTAAGAAAGCATAAAAGAGAGATGCTAACCAAGAGCTTTTCTCAGGTGCCAAATCCACCAACGTTTGGAGTGCCCCCTCTGACGCCAATGCAGCCGACCATGGCTGCTGTACCCTCAGGCCCACCACCCACTGTAGTCGGTCACACTGGAGGTTCGTTTGCTGTTTGCTACAAAGTCATATTTTTTCAAATTTGTGATTTATTGTTTTAATGTAGTAATTGGATGATACTTAAATCTGTTTATTTTTATTTATTTATCTATCATTATTATTTGGTTTTATTTGTTTATTTTTTATTATTATTATATTGTTATTGAGGAATTGGTGACTTGGTTTGATAAGCTTTTATTTGGAAAATTGTTTCATCATGAAGTATTTTTGATAAGTCTTAAACAGAAAAACCTCATATGATAATTCTTCCTTTTGTAAAGTAGTCCTTACGAGAGATTTCACATTTGAACTTGGAAAGATGTGAAAAGAAACCAAGCCCTAGCTTTAAATACTTGTATACAAAAAACGTTACAGGCTCAAAAGCAGCTTTATTCAGCTATATACACAGACACATGTACCCACTCCCCTCTCTAACTCACACCCACACCCACAATGTGCAGTTGCAGTGGTATTGTTCTTGTTTAGCAATCTTGCTGACAGTATATCGATAGTAAACCAGAGGGGTCAATTTAGAATTACAGGAAACAGACAGCCACAGTTTGGCTGAAGTCAAAAGAGCCTGTCACCAAACCTTGAATTATTGTTATCATTATTATTATTGTGATTACTATTGTTATTTTTATTATTATTATTATTATTATTATTTATTATTCATGTTTAATTATAAACTAAAATAATAATTATTATTTGTTATTATTACACGTATCTACACTTCAATACACTCAGATTCACATCTCTGGGCTCACACCTGCACTTTACACGCTCAAGCTCATGCCCCCTACTCAAACACACTCCCCTCTCCCCTACCCCCAACATACCCTTAAACACTGCACCTCAACACTCCCATACACACTTACACCCAGACCCTCCCCCTCCCACACCTGCACCTTGACACACACACTCCCTTACAACCACATTAACTCGCACTTGGTCATTCTCGGTTTCACAGTCTATCTCACAGGAAACACAGTCTGTGTATTTTCAATACAATTGCATGTAAAGCTGTGTTTATTTTAGATGTATCTACATTTTCATATATTAATGTATAGATTTTTCCCATTTGAATGTTTTTGCTATTATGCTAGATGAAAGACTTAAGATATATATGCAAGCTCTCATAGTCAAGAACTAGCAACAGATGAATATTTGCATGATGTTACATACTTGATACACTCATACTTAACACTGCATGTGATGTGAGGTTGGAAGCCGTGTCTGCGAAGGCAAGCAGAAAAGGGAAGGTGTGGTTGAAGAATTTTGAGATTTCAGTAAGTTCATGAGTATTCAGTTGAGGTTTATGGTGTGGTAATTTGTTTTTATTGTTGAAGGACTTTGGAACACAACAGGAGAAGCTTCAAAATGTTGTGTGTGAGGAACAGGAATAGTTTGAGTTAGTATTCCTCCTGTTCTTTCTCCTCCTCCTCCTCCTCCTTAGCACTTCCTCTCCTTTCTTTTTCTTCTCTTCCATTTTTCTGTTTACTCTACTCTTTATCTTTTTCCTCCTTCCTCTTTTTCTGTCCTCATTCAATTTCTTTTTTTTCATTCTCTTCCTCCTTTTCATCCTCCTCTTTTTCCTCATTTTCGTTCCTTCTCTGCCACTAGTACTTCCTCTTCCTCAACTTCCCCCTTGTACTTCTCTTCCTCATCTTCCCCCATGTACTTCTCTTCCTTCATCTTTTCCTCCTCCTCTCATTGTTTCCTCATTTTTCCTCACTACATCTGTATTTTGAAGAATCTCCTGTGTATCCACGTTTTCTTTTTGTGGTTTTGCTTGTGTTTTTCCAGTAACACTTTTTCTCACAGCAAAAGTGGTACAGCTTACCATAGAGATGGGATCAGTGTGCTTGGAATTAATAATGTCAAAGCAAAGCAGGCATCACTTGCATTTCTTAATAAAACAGTAACATAACTGGAATGGAATGCTGTCATTAATATTTGTTTAGAGATGCTAGGGAATTAAAAGGGGAACAGTTTGGTGAAGTCTTGTAGATTTTATAGTTTGATGAAAAAATGGGGGGTGGGACATGTATGGTGCATGATGCACCATGTTATTGATGTGAGAAAGCAATTATTTCCTATTTTTGTTTTACTTTTTATTATTTTTGTAGTGTTGAAAAT